AATGCTTTTTCGTATAAAAGACGAAGAGGATGTTGATACCTCCCTGTCCATTTACACAGCTGGTTCGAAGCGAAAATGCGACTGCTGTGCCATAATTGCCTTGGAATACCACTTTTTCCCCTATACTGCTGTTCACTGAGAAATACTGTTAACAGGTTATTGGTAACAGTCGTGAGCAGCTTGTAAATACAATGCAACAACCAGATCGAGCTGCAGTTCTTCAGTTCTTACCACCTTTCATGTGTACCAGGACAGCTGTTGACTTTCTACTGTCGGGTGTCCTTCTTTCGGCCGAAGTATCAGATGAATCGAATGGAGAGAGCTTTCCAAAATGCCCTCTAATTATGCTAATATCGTTACTATCAGGAGCTTCTCCAATTCTTATTTGAAAAACTATGACATACTTCACACATATGCGCAGGAAAAATTCGCTGCCAGGTGCTGGAATGTTATGTGACGCGACCAATTCTGCGCAGAATTTTCTACATATGTTCCCCATGTCTACTTAGTCCGTTTCAGATGCCTATCCGTATCCTCCAACGCCGCTACTGTGGTGTAGCCATCGAGCACACAGGTTCTGCTTCTTTTGAACTGACTCTGCCTTTACGTATTAAAAAAAGACAAAACTCCATCATGTGGCGCTCACTATGCGAGGCGGACAGACTCAGAAAGCAATGCGTCTGGTAGCAAATGCTAGCATCAGCCACAACTTGGCAGGGCTCCTGACAGATCTCTGCATCGAATGCTGCTTACAAACAAGCAAGCTCCTTGCGCACTGCAGTACCAATTTACCGTAGCAGCAAATGAACAAACCGCACAACAGCTGATTATTCCACCGGCAAAAAACTCCCGGCCTACGGAACGACAGCGTCATTTTGCGCTACACTACATATGTAGCCTGATCGAAGCTAGTTTCCGGAAAACATGAACTGCAAATCTGAGTTCTTGAAAAAACAATACATACCATGCCATGCTCAAAAGTGAACACGCCGACATCCCGGCCGTCGTGGATGTGGCAACGCCGAAAGAACGGGTTGGCTTTGTTCTTCACCCATATGCCGGCCAGCGAATTGTGT